ATGCTGCTGGGTTGGTCCCGCCGCGCCAAGGGTCAGCGCTACCAGACCAACCCAGCAGCACGCCAGCTGCTCTGCCCCAGTCGTGTCCGATTCAGCCGCTGCTGGTCAGTTTCAACAGCGGCTGAATCTGGATGCCAGTTCTGACTTACATACAAATTCAACTTAAGAACAAACCTACGGTCCCTATCTTGTACATAACCCAGGGACTGCCTGTATTTATTTGTGTCACAAATGCCATGCTATATGAAATTGTGGCACTACCATCAACCAACAGGGCTAATTTCAGACTGTTTATTTCTTTAGTTTAAATATCCATGACTTTTTAAACTTTGTATGAGTAATTATCATTAGTAATAATTATTATTAATAATTAATAAGTAATTGGAAATTGGCAGGACCTCCAAAGACTTTCCTAATTGTCAGGGTTGTTAAAAATGGGAAAAAATTGCCTAGGGAGGTTGTGGAATCTCCATCACTGCTTGGTCCTGCTGTGAGGGCAGGAGACTACTTGATAACCTCTCAAAGTCCCTTTCAGTTCTAGCATTCTATGATTCTAAAACTAGAAGGTTTCAGAATTTCAACCTGGATCCAGATCCAAATTTCACAGCTGGACTCCACATGTATAATGGCCCAAAATATGTGTAACTATGTGACACTTCAATTTTAGATCCCCACTTTGAACCTTAGCCTCAACTTTAATAACATTCATTTTAAACTTCTCTAATGAGATTGACTGTTACTATTTGTGAGAGGGTGAGGTCATAGAAGACCCCTCGTGGGTGCTTCCTGGAGTGCTGACACGGCCACTGTCACTTGTCTTTCTGCTCTCTGTGGATCCTCACCACCCGGTCCGGCTGGGCCAGCTCCCTGGTCTACCCCAGCTAAGACCCCGAGCTGAGATCCCTGCCCTCACCGAGAAGCAGTACAGACACAGAACCTTTTTAGGTCCAAGGCAAGTGCAATTTTGGGCCCAGCTTCCCCAAATGGGATAAAACCCCAAAGGAATTATTCCCTTCAGCAATGAAATGGGGAATGTGCACACTGGTTGCCCTTCAAGGTAAAAAATATTTACACTGGGTTTGATAGAAAATAAAAGTGATTTTATTAAGTACAAGTAGTAGGATTTAAGTGGTAATATTTGAGAACTGGAAGAGCAAAGTAGATTACAAATCAAAAGAAACAAACGTGCTTAGCTAATTCTATGCTCAAACTTCAGTACAAACTTTTCAAACTCACCCTAAAACCTCTTTTCCAGCTGCCCCTCCAAACCAGGTCTGTTGCCCACCCTGGGGTCTTTGGCTCCTTCCTTCAGGTGCAGCCCCACCAAAAGACCAAGGCCCCTACTTTTCTATACTTTTTTAAGTAATTGAGGCCACTCCCTACCAACCACTGCTCAGAC